ACTTTCAAAGAGGGCAGAAAGTGAACTTTTGTTTAGAAATCGCCGTTTCCTATCACACCCTGTTCTCTAGCCCCCCCCCCCCCGCCCCCGACAAAGAGACTGAAGCGGAGACAGGAGTAATGATCATAAATATCCTTTCATAAACAAACTCCTGCCTTCCCTTACACGATAGCTATTAGCGCTCACTCCCCTAACAGCACAATTTATAGAAAAGATGCTCGGCTCCAACAGAGGGCTGCTTTAGTTTGCTTGTAATTGCATCTTCCAAGTTCCAGGTCATTTTCTTTATTCTTTCAAAAAATATATATAACACCATAGATTTAAAATCCCCCCTCCCTTGTTGATTTATAGTAGGGGTGGTAAAATTACAGTAAGATATAATATAAGGAACGACCGTCTCCAGGGGCTGTTTCATGTTCCTTCCTAATGATGCACAAACATAAATTTTATTTGCCCCCCCACCCCCTTTACTGTGGTTCTTGTGGCTAGTCGAATGCTGCTTTTCTTTGAAAAGGCACCATGACATTAATAAGTGAATCTAGTGTTTCAGCTCTTTTTGGGAAAGGATGGGTGGCTCTTAAAAGAGCCGTTGGGTTTTTTATAGTAAGTATCTCACGTCATTTCACTTCTTCTTAGGCGCGGCCCTCTTAGCCTTCACTGTTTTGGGTTTCGTCGGCTTGGGCTTGACAGCCTTGGGCTTCACCGCTTTCGCCTTAGCCGGGCTCTTAGCCGCCTTCTTAGGCTTGGCGGCTGTCACCTTTTTCGGGCTCTTGGCCGTTTTTTTGGCCGCTGCAGCTGGTTTCTTGGCTTTTTTCGGGCTCTTTTTCACGGCCGCAGCCTTTTTGGGTTTCTTGGCGGCGCTGGCGGGCTTCTTGGCAGCTGGGTTCTTTGGTTTTGCCGCTGGCTTTTTCTTCGGTGCCTTTTCCTTGATCTCCCCAGGCTTTTTGCTGAGCTTAAAGGAGCCCGAGGCACCGATGCCCTTAGTATGAACTAAAGTGCCCTTGTTTACCAGACTCTTGAGCCCCAGCTTGATGCGGCTGTTGTTCTTCTCCACATCGTACCCTCCGGCTGCCAGAGACTTCTTAAGAGCCGCCAACGAGACCCCTTTGCGCTCCTTGGAAGCGGACACCGCCTTGGTGATCAGCTCGGTCACGCTGGGACCCGCGGCCTTCCGGGCTTTGGCTCCTCCAGCCGCCTTCTTCGGCTTTTTAGCTGGAGCCTTTGAAGCTGGAACAGGAGCTGCAGCAGCAGCTGCTGTCACTGCAACAGCGGGCGCAGTTTCGGACATGGTCACACCGTTGATTTACAAACGCTCTACACACGGCTCCCTACAGTAGATGCCTTGTATTTATAGAGACGAGCTGCTCTCTGATTGGTGAGTTTAAGAACCCGCCCAGCTGCAAGGCAGACAGAGCCCTTCTCCCCGCTCAGTTTGTGTTTCTTCGGAGGAAATAAAATGTATTTTTTACAAAATATCTGCCACAGAATCATCCCATTTTACAATCATGAGAAGGTGAAATAGGACATTTTCATCTGTCAGTATTTTCTGTTGAAAATAATAATACAGTGTTAAAAAAGACCCAATAAATCTTGCGTCCTGCAGCTTGATGGACCTCCGGAGAGAGAAAGTTTTGTTTTTCTTTGTAAATTAAAAATGTTCTTTTAGCAATAAGATCAGAAAAAGAATGAAATAATAATCTTTAGAGGGTCTTCTCCAAATCGTATAAGAAAGTGAGTGATTTGTGTCAATGTTCTCATTATACACAGATTTAAAAGAGACAGAGGTAGCACAAACTCCCACAAACTAGATTTCAGCTTTGCTAACCAAGGTCTATAACCCTTGACTACTAGGAAATAGTACTAAGTTAACTTAGTGGATCTTTCCAGACCATCTAATCTAAAGTTCTGTGAGGGCTGTTTACTTCAAATAATATGTGCTTTGTGGTATTATCCCCCACAAATTAGCTATTCTTGGTACAAAACCCAGATTCTAGTTCTTATAAAATAGGAAAGGGATGCATACTTTAGCCTGATAACCAATGGGGATATAAAAATATTAAAGCATAATCACTGGTTATTTTTTAATTCTAAATTACAAAGAAACAAATCTTGCTCTAGGTAAAAAAAAACAGGGATTATTTTTTCTGTAAAATAATTAGAAATCATCCATTAATCTGAAAAAAAAATAATGGCAGATGTGAAAGTGTGTGTGGTGTGTGAATCTCTGCAATTAAAATTATCTGAAAACACAATTCCTGTACCCCTTTAGCTTTCTAAACTAGGGACAAACAGTGGTTGTTTCTGGACAATCCACTTTGCTAGGTCTCAAATCAGTGCATAGGGACATTCCTGTATGTAAAGAAGTCTGTGTCAACAATACCTAGCTGTAGAAATTGAATTATTGTACTCAAATGAATCTGAATAAACTATATTAGCAATGCCATTCATGTTTCTTTCCTTAAAGAAACACTTTATATTTATTCATTCATGATTGGCTCCAGTGCTTGACTCATGTAATAAAGGAGTGTTGTATCCATTAGGATTTAAAGCCCTGCTTAATAGCATCACATTCATTCAATGAATATATTCCCTTTGGAGACAAATCTCTGGAAGGGAGAGATTGGCATATGAAAGGCATAACACCCTTTGAGCCCGTGGAGACAGAGATGTTAGTAGGCCCTGAGAAGGGTTTCTATGGACCAAGGCAGAATCTCTTTTCTTTAACCTTATCCTGACCACAATAGGTAAGGTACTTGGAGCACCATGGAGTCTCTGGTGAGCTGTTGCCTTCAATCTGTGTCTTTTAAGAGGTTGTGGATAATGAGGTTTGGGTTAGTGTAATAAAAAACTTAGTCTTTCCCTCTGTTCTCACAGTACAATGCAATTAGTTGGAAGCATTCTTCTCTTCCATTTTTCTATTTTTTTGTTTATTCTTTCTTTTTTTCCTCTCCCTTCATCTGTGGAGTCCCCAGCCTAGGTCACCCTAGCCATGGAAGAGGGTATGTATGTGAATGGGGCAATGTGGGAAATCTCATGAATGGTGAATCAAATTCCCCCAAAAGTACACACTCCTTTTTTCTGACAAACACACATTTGCACACGTGTTCCCATCCCTAAAAAATTTGGAAAGTTCCCCTTTTGTTATTTATTAGAATAAATGAACCACCAGTTCTGAAGGAACTGCAGGGGCTGTGAACGGTTCCTGGCAGGGGAGGGAAAACCAATAGACATGGCACCTCCACTTTTATCAAAGTGTGCAAAAGGTAGCAATGTCTTTTTTTTCAAACGCAGCCTTACTTTGTTGTGTCATGGAGAAACTCAGCAGGTCTGTGGGTATATATGATGGCTCGCATCTCAGTCACAAGGTAACCTAATAAGGATATGTGGGCACTTCCAGGTTTAGTAGCCAGAGCACAGTGGCTTGCCCTTCTGTGGTTGACATGCATGGAAATGGAAACTCGAAGCAGTGCACATTCCCCTGTGATGCAGACACCAATTAGGAGGGTGTGGCCTGGGGTGCTTACAGAGAGACTACTCTCGCCGAGACCTTTTCTACACATGAGAAAGTTGGCATGCGTGGTCCCAATAGTAACACACTTCACATCCCTATTCTAAAAGGCTCCTAATGGTGAAGCAGTGATCACACTAGACAATAAAAAACAAACAAACAAAAACACTTAACCTCCCTATGGTATTCCACTCTGCCAATTTCCATAGGTACCACGGCAATATGGATGGGGATCACTGATGCAAAAGCCTTTGAGAATGCCAATAGCCACCAGAGGGAAGAAGCTTTCCATTACTGCAAACATGAACTAGGTTGGCAAGGGCAACCTAGAGGTGAAAGTGTTCTGTCGCCCATTACCAATCCCATGGACCATCCACTCTCAATGGGGAGCGAGGGGGGGAATTATTGGAATGGCTACAGCTAATAAATAATAATATTTCAAAAGTCATAATTTATTTAGATAAAGAAAAGAGATGGTAATGTACCCCAAACTTATTGGTGCCTCCAACGTAACAGATCCAACACTGGTGGGATCAATTTTAAATTATTCTTGCTATGTAAATAAATATCACATCTTTTAAAATTATTATTATTGATTTGTTTGTTGTTTCAATGATGAAGCATGAGTTTATATTATTTGCTGAATAGCCTGGTATGTTGCCCAGTACTGTAATGCTATGTAATGACAGACACTGAGAAGGGCAAATCTCAAAAGGTTCAACAATTTGGTTCAGTCTATGCAAGTATTAAATAGTCTGGATATTTTTCTTAATATCAAATCTGTTTAAGCCCCTTCCCATGGACCTTCTCCCTGGCACCCCTTTGCTGTGAGGAGGTTTCTCCTTCCTATCTGATAGCAGTACCTTGGAGGACAAGCTTGACCACTCTTGCTAGCTGATGAAAGGCAATGAGTTTATGACAAATCAAAAGAATTGAGCTTGAGAATCCAGAGACAAACCTTAAGAAAACATCAACAATAAAACCACAATCTCCCTTGGGAGGGGAATACTTCCCTTTTAGCATCTCACCTGAATATTCACATGAGAGATTGGTGATGGGAAGTAATAGTCCTAGAAGAGGAATACATCTCATGGCTGCCATGCAAATGTTGGCTACAATGCTGAACTTGATGAGACAAGTGTAAGGATGTTGTGTTGATAAGGGGCATGTTCAGGGCCAACAGGAGAAGAGATGCTAATGAAACTGTCCTGGGGCCTGATCAATTCAGGGGAGTTACAAACCAGCCTACCTGGCACAGGCTCTGCTAAGGAGAATGAGACAACCCAGATCCACCTGTGAGTAGTTAATTACCTATGTGGCTGGGTGGCAGAAATGCCTGGGCCTAATACAGGTGTATGAGGGCTCAATTAGGTGGTTCTAGGACACAGAGAGGAAGCTCATGATGAAAGGGGCTTTTCAGGGAAGGTGTTTAGAGCTCTTACTAGAAAAGAGGGCTTAGGAAAGGTGTTCCTGGAGGCAGCAGATTCTGAAAGTGCTATGAGTGCAAAAGCCTAGGAAGATTAGTCCCAGTGAAAGGCCCTTAGTAGATAGTGGCAAGCAGTCCAGGTTGTTGAGGAACTACATGCTGCTTGAGAGGAGACTATAGCTGTTTGACATCTGCATGGATCCTGAGTCCAGGAACACCTTCCCAGCTGATGGTAAGAGCCTACTTCCAGAAGAGGATCCTCGGTTGAAAGGGCCTTAGGGGTGACAAGCCTGGACAGAGAAGCTGGATGGACTCAGATGGAGGCAGATAAACTAAGCTTAACACACATGTACCCTGGGTAGGGCAGTGGGGGTGAAGACCTGCTTGCAAATCTGTGTGGCCAATGATTAAATAAAACTAGACCCTTGAAGTACCATTTGCTATATACAAGCCTCACTGAACTTAGTGATAGCCTGAAAGAGGAAACTGAGGCAGGGACAGACCCTGTTGCTCCCCACCAAGCTGCCAGAGGTTATGCAGGTTAATGTCAGTATTGACACAAGGGGAAGCTCTGGGAGTAAGTGCCCATGCTATAACAGAAACCCTCTTACAAGAATAAACAGTTAATGCAGGTCTGAGATTTAATATCAAGTTATTGATGGCTTACTCCCTTTTTTGTTAACCATTATACCACATGCTCAGTTTGCAGTAGACTTGAATGTCCTGCTTCACAAGCCAGGAATTTAGATCCTTTCTGGATGGAGCCACCCCCCACAGTTAGAGAAATACAATTCTTTAGGTGCTGTGACATTGTGCGGTCTATATGGCTTTATAAAAACATAAAAAGAAGTGAATATAATGTAACTGGAATATGCTTCATGCAAAAGGTCTCTTGTAAGGTATCATTACAAAGCTTATAATCTATTGAGTGTGATCATCCTATTTGTATAAATGTACCACTCTTGTATCTAAAACTAGAAATATAACTCTGAGGGCCTATTGTAATTATGCAAAGTGTGGGCCATTAATAGTGGTTTGGAATCTTGATGACTCCCATTAACCAGGACCATTGTCTGCAGATGGCTGTGTTTACCTGTTAGTCTTCCTGTATATGTGTGTGCTGGCAAGTGGGTAATGAAGTCTTGCAGTGATATGTGATCATGTCACCTGAACTGGAATCCATCTTTAACCTGGTGCTTTTCCAGTGGGGGGTGGAAACCCAGAGGGACAAAGGGTTCCCACCTTATGCAAAAGATATATAAAGGGGTGGAAGATAACAAGGAGGGAGAGGAGCCATCATGAAGAATCCCCTAGCTATCACCTGAGCTGCAACAAGAGCTGTACCAGGGGAAAGAATTGTGCCCAGGTCTGGAAGGTGTCCA